CCCAACCTAACCTTTTTTGATGTCTTGAGCCCTGATGCGGTTTAATGGCATGGCAACATAAATATTTGTGTTGGATAGGAGGGATGTGAAAGGGTGAAAGAAAGGGTTGGAATTAGACAACAGGGAATAAGTAGGGCTATTTCTTTCAACTGCAGTGCTGTTTATAGGAGAAAGTGGATAGCTTAAAGTCTATGTGAAGCTGTAGCCAGAGTGTAATCGCACATTGCAGCTAAGTGGATTTTATGACTTGTTTCTCCCTTCTGGTTCCTGGGCACACCTCTCTGCTACTTCCCCTCTGTCAGATCTCGCAGCTGTGCAGCCACGATTAGGTGGGTTGAGAAGTAAGTTTACCTGTCTGATATGGTGGAAAACTACCCCTCTGTGAAAAAATAGTAGTCTTCCATTGGGTCACCCTACTGACTTTCCCTGGAACTGCACAGCTATTAATTAGATCTGGCCCAGGAATGGGTGGTTATGCGTGGTCATCTGCATCTAGGTATAAAGAAGAGGGATATCCATTTCAGGGATAAGTTTAATAGTAATATTTTAAACGTATTAGATCTGTTCTCTTCACTGTGTAATAATCAGTTTTCTGCTATTTGACAGCCTTTCAAATGGGCATTAAATGATAGTTAACAATGACTGTGTGCACCTCTTTCTTTTTAAATTTTTCCTCATAGAGAAGCATAACTTAAAAAGAAGATTAACTTTCTTGAAGGATCTGAAATACGTCTTAGGAACTTGATGTCAAATACCTTAGGGATCTGATAATGGGAGGGTCAAATAGATCCTGCTGCAATGATATAAAACTTTCTGCACTCTGCCAGAAGCTTCGTGTTCCTGAAGCAGTGTCAACAGAAGGTAATACACGTCTGCACTCCTGTGCCTAGCTTGGCTTTTTAGCTACAGTCACTAATCAAAGTGGCTCTGAGCTACGGTAGAGCATTGTGAACTGGCATACCTGAGGTGCAGGCATGCATTTTCTTCTGCTCACTCTGCTGTCGCTCTCTGGAGAACCAGTGATTTCTGGAAGAGTGAGACTAGCATTTGGAGTGGTGGCGTCTTTATCTGTTACAGCAAGATCCAACAAAGCTTGTCTGCCAAACCCCTGGTAACCACAGACTACAAAAATTGCAGCAATGAGGGGTTTGCAGTATTCTGCAGGCTGATATGGGATCAGAATTGTTCAGTCCTAGGGAACAAGAAATGCAGATAATTGACCTTATGTTAGGTTCTTGAGTAGAAAATAGACAAGTCAGAAGAATGTTTCCAAGTCTTGCAAAAGAATGCCTTAAAAATGTTTATTACAAAAAAAAGTATTCTTGGTATTGTAACAATAGAAATTAATTCCTCACGGCTTTTTTTTTTTTTTTTTTATTTTTTGGTTTTTTTATAATTTTGATGGCAATACGTGAACTTTTAATCTAATTTTTTGGGTTTTCTACTGCTTAAGTAACATTTCTATTGATTGTGTTTATGTTAACTTTTTAGGTTCCCTCTTGGTGTTTTTTGGTCTATTTTCTTGGGCTTAGTCTGGCTACACTTGCTTGAAGTACCTGATCCTTCTGTGGTTCCTCATTATCAGGCTGGTGTAGTGGCATTTGGTCTTTCTGCAATTATTGAACTTCTGGGAGAACCGTTCTGGGTTTTAGCACAAGCTCATTTGTTTGTAAGACTTAAGGTTAGTAAAGTACGTGGGGTATATGCATGTGGGGGGAATTACCTTTCTCTGCTGAAAAGAACAGATTCCTGAACTAGATCTTTGTATATTCAAGAACATAAAAAAAACAGCCTTTGGGTACTGTTTAGTACTGTATGACATAGTTGTAACATAGATATGAATTTGTACCTGTTAAAGCAAGAAAGTTGGTTTATTTAGAAATTATCACCTTAGTGATCATTAAATACTTAATCATGAGTTTTAATTGGAGGGGAGAGGCACGCAGCTTCCACAATTTTGCATTTTGATTGATTGTTGGCATGAAATTGTGAAATGCAACAATTGAGAACATGATTGTCTCAAGTAAAATCTTCTCCCTTAAATCCCATACAGAGGACTGGGAAAGAGCAATGGAGGAATTGTGAAATGCAAGAATAGAAAACTTAGAGAAATTACAATCTAAAATGGCCAACTCAGCAGAAAGAAACTTTGTGATAAAGTCACACCGACTTTGAAAGTCTTACGGTCCATAGTATAAGACTTGTATAAGAATTACATGAATTCTGTGTGTGAAACTAATGTATTTTAAGTTTGTGTATGTGGTTAAGTTGGCAGAAAATAAACCACCTCTGTTTTCTTTTGCTTAAAGGTAATTGCTGAAAGCCTTTCAGTAGTGTCGAAATGCATTTTGACGGTTATTTTAGTAGTCCTTTATCCTCAGTGGGGCCTCTACATTTTTTCCTTGGCTCAGGTAAGTTTCCTGTGTTCTCTTTTTCTATAAATTCTTGATTCATCTGAATTTTTATTTGCTGCTGCCTTTGACGTTTGGCCTGCTAGATAACTTGGAAGAGGTGAGAGAAAATGCTCCTGGCAGGTTTAAGATTTAGCACTTGTATTTAGTATTTTCCCGATACTCGTTATTGACTTGGCACTTTGACCCCGAGCAGTTTAATGGATATACAAGAAAGCACCCTGTTCTGTCTGTGAAAGCACGTTTTGCAAACAACGTTATGTTATTCTGTATAAGCTTTATGTTAACTCTTAATCAGTTATACATTCTAATGCTTGAAGACTGTTCTCCACCTGGCTTCAGTATTCATGTTAGGCTTTGGTGTAGAAGATTATAATCGCATGTAATTCTATCAGCCTGTACCACCAACCTATATCGCCTTACCAGAAGGTGCTAATCATGTGTAACACATGCTCGGATTAAAACTGCTTCTTTACTACAATGAAGAATGGATATATTGGCACCTGAAAAATAGGGTTGTCGCCTGTGCAATATCAGTTTACCTAGAATTGAAAATGCAGTCCACCTCAGATGTGGACATTTAGTTATTTTTTTGTTCAGTTTTTTCAGTGTCTGTACTAGATAGCTTATAACTAATCAAAGAAAGAGATGCAGACAGTAGCTACTCTGTCAACTTGTTTTTTGACTGAGTGAATAATTGCTTTATAATTGGACTTCAAATTCTAAATATGAAGTCCAACAATTGGACTTCAAATTCTAAAAATGCTGAACAGAACATAAAAGTTGGCAAAGAGCTATGATAACCTACAGATTAAAAACAAAATAACAGCATTCTTGGAGCGTTAAAGCCTTACCTAGTTTAAAATTTGACAGGAATAAGGACTACTTATTACATTTTGTTCTCACTGCTTTGGAGTTCTAGCATGTAATTCTGCATTTGTAAGTTTATTTTATATCACTGGTTGTTTTTCTTCTCTCCTTCCCTATCTTTCCAGCTTTTCTATGTCAGTGTTCTGGTAATGTGCTATGTAATTTATTTTGTGACGTTTTTGGGGTCTCCTGAAGCAACAAAGAAGTCATTTCCAGTTGCTAGAATGAAAGCTCTATTACCTAACTTGGTGGAAGATGAGGTAGGTTCCACAGTTCATTTCTTGATTTTAAGTTTTTCTTGAGAGAGCTTTGAAAATTGGTTTGAGATAGTGGAGTTAATTGAGTCCTTTTGAGGATATCTCTGCACTGTAGAAGATAGGACCGATTAAAAAAAAAAAAATGACGTACAAATTCTGTTTGTGGTTTGTATCAACCAAATCCTTCTCAGAAAAACGTTACGAAACTTGACCTCTTTGTTATGGGCTTGTTGCTGACTTATCTTTTAGTATCTTTGCACAAACCGTTAACTGGAGATAGAACATCTGCAGTGTGCAGGGGAATGACCAGGTATCATTGGATCAGAGGCAGGAAAAGAAACCAGAACCATTTTACCATGGATTTTGGTACTCAGACTTTTCCACAATATAAACATGGTGGTACACAGCATCCTACAGATACTCAAATATCTCTGATGTCCTCTCAAAACAAAATGAGGCAAGAAAGAAATGAAAAGACACAGTGAGGAAGAAGACATTTTGAAAAAGATGTGCAGATAGAAAAGATAAAGGCGGTTCTTGGTTGCAAGACTTGTGGGGACAGTTTGAAGATGAGTAAACAACTTACATCTACAGTGAAGGTGAAAGTTATATTGGCATGCTAAACAGCGTGGTTTTTTTTTTTTCCAGTCTCTAACTTCGAATAGTATTTTCTGTAGAAAGCTTGTTTGGGTACTTTATCTGCAACAACAGTAATTTTCAGCAAGGGAAAAAGTCTTTGCCAGATCAGAGTGATATTGGTGCTTGAATTTAGCAATATTTTAGGTTAGTTACAGTAGCTATGAGATTGTGGGTTTTCCTCATCAGTACAGTTAGAGCTAGCCTAGAGTATTGTACTGGCTTTGTATTTTCTATTTCTACTCTGCAGTTTCCATTATGATTATTGCATTTCAGTACTACTTTTTTTGCAGACCTTTGTTAACTGGAAGGAAGCGTGGTTGACTTGGAGTTTCTTCAAACAATCCTTCTTGAAACAGATTTTGACAGAAGGTGAGGCTTGACTTATGGTTGTGATGAAGAAGGGCTAACGAATACTATTTACAAAATGGACTTAAAGCTTGAGAAGGCTGGGGGGAGGGTGGGCACACAACTTTCAGAGATTGTTGCCAGCAGATGTTACCAACATGAATGAAGTTTTTGAGGGTATTCTGAACGAGCTGCTGTCCCGTTTGACTTTGTCTCTTGAATACTTAATGTTGGAAGTGCCTGAACAAGCATTGGGAAAGATTTAGGGACTTGTTCTTAAGTTCTTTATTTTGAACTTACAGGTGAACGATATGTGATGACTTTTTTGAACGTGTTAAATTTTGGAGATCAGGGTAAGTGTGATGGTGTTGTGGAATGGTGGCACAGTGTTCTTAGTCACTGCTTTTTAGACAGTTCTGAAAATGACTTAAAGTATTTGAAGATAACTTGAAAATCTGAGAAGATTTCAAAGCCTTTGTGACTTTGAGATACATTTTGGAGAATGATTGATATAGATACAGAAAAGAATTTAATTTAAGATCCTGGATTTTAATTTTATTTTTTCTTTGGATCAAAACTTTCCAATTGGATATGCGATACCATGTATCTTTTTTTTTTTTAAAAAAGAACTTCATTAGTATCCGATGTGTGATAGTTGTCTGTCTTCAGTTTTTGTAATTCTGTTTTTCTGCTGTTTTCTGTCTTCCTTTTGAATCTGTGTTAGCTGTTACGGCAAGAACATCATTGTTCATAGCATTGCATCTCAAAACTGAATTATGTTCTGTAAAAGACTTCAGCGTGGTTACAGAGTAATGTATGGCAGTAGCCGTTCAGATGACTTTATAGCTTGGGGAAGGAAAATAAGCTGTAATTGTTGGCCCCCTGTTAGAAGTTTCTTGGCTAGTTTGAATTACTTTTAATTACTGGCAGTCGTATGTTTCTGCATAAATACTGAGTATATGTGCTTGCCACCAGTAACTGCGGCAGCTTCTGATCCTCTTCCCCTGCAGAACAATTGAACTGCCTCTTACTTGAAGGGTCTTTAAAAGAGCAATGAGTACAAAAATGCCTGTACTCTCAAAATGTTGAGAAACATTGGTTCCAAGTCCTATGAAATCAGCCAGAACCTTATTCTATTATTTCACTGTGAATATGTAAAGCACTTATGCATATGCCTGACTTCGTATGCTCTCAGTGACTGTACTGTGTATGTCTCTATACATAGATGTCTTAGCAGGTTTGTAGCAGTATCTTGCTGAGGATGGAAGTGCTGGTAAAATGTCATGTAGGATTGCTCTTCCACTTTAGTGAAAGTAAAAAGAAAGAAGAACCTCACACTAAAAATAGATATCTTTCTCTTCTCCTGTATCAGTAAAGCCTTACATTCCTGTTCTCATTCAGTGAAATTCATGAGGATCTTTTAAATTCCTCTACAATAAGAACTTTAAATGTGGTTTGGTGCTGTTACTAGATTCAAATCTCTGTAGTTGATGCTTTTGTCCTAGCGTTGCCATCTATGAGCAAGCCTTGTAATTTTGAGCTGTGGTTGCTGTGACTGCCAGAATTTTTAGGGAACGCTGCTTTAATGTTGCACTAAGTTGCACTTGTTTTCTCTTTGTTGGGTGGAAATGTTAAATTAGAATTCATGTCATTGTTAAAGACTTAGAATTAAAATGTGTCTAAAAAAATTACAGGTTGCTGCTATGTTTGTGGTTTGTTTTTTGTTTGTTTTTTTTAAGGTGTATATGATATCGTGAATAATCTTGGTTCACTGGTGGCCAGGTTTATCTTTTTGCCTATTGAGGAGAGTTTCTATGTCTTTTTTGCTAAAGTGTTGGAAAGAGGGAAGAAAGTAAAGGATCAGAAGCAGGTATGTTTCTTTTGGATTAATTGCATGTCAAATGCTTGATTTATGTTACAGATAAGTTGCGTGACAGAAGTGTGTGTTTAAATTTGAGTATAAAGGCTGTTAAAATCGAAAAGTTGCAGTGGAGAATAAAAATGTCGAGTGAGGCTGGACCAAAAAGAAAATAGGTAAAATGCTAATGAAATAGAAATCAAGATATTCGGTGGCATAATACTGCCTTGTATTATAACTGGTTGACATCATCTGCTCCAAAGAGTGTGATGTAAACCCTAGTGTACTGTGTATTTCCAGATATACTTAGGCAATTATTTAAATCATGAAAGCATGCTATTTCTATCAAATAAATGCTGTCTGAAAATACTTGAAGATATAAGTAGCTGTTAAGTATTAAACAGTAATGTTTCTAAAGAGTGCAGTTTTGGGAAGAAAAGAATTGTATTTTTCGTGAGCTTTTGAATTGTACGTGCAGTATCAATGGTTAAACAAACAAGAGTTTTGTTCCACAGACTAATATTCATGCATGCTCTAGGTAAGAAATTCTTGATCGGTCATGAAGGTCAGCCTGGGCTTTTGTATGATACTATGACAACTTTTTGCAGTAATCCTGCTACTTGCACCGTAGCACGCAGTTAAACAAATCCCATGCTTCAGGTCATTGGTGGGCTAAGAAAGATACATGTATATTTTATATGCAGTGTACCTGAGATATATAACTTGCAAAATGGTTATGAGTTTTCACTGTATGTACTGAAATTACATTACAAGAATTACAGGAATGCTTCTTGTAATGAGGTAGTAGAACTGACAAGTTGCTTGTTCTGGTGTGGCAAATCCTGTAGTCCCATGCAGCAATAAAAATTCTGACCCTCCTGCTGACTCAAACTGTGGCCTTGGGCAGATGCCGGGCTCTTCTTTGCCACTTACTAACTGTTAAACAGGCGCAAGTGCTGTTTGTGCATTTCCTTGAACAGACGTGTTCGTGGCTAATATTTGTGTAGAATTTGTAATGTGTAAAACATAGAATGGAATAATAAATATATAAAAATTGTTGGAAGTTAAGACCATGTGTATGGATAATTCAAATAACAAAGGATAAGTTTCACATCTTTTTACACTGTGCAAACTGATATTTTTTTTTTCTGTGAAGTAGCTTTTCTGCATGAAAATAACTGTTATATTGATTCTGATTCATGTAATTGACTACAGTTTTTTTCAGGATGATGTTGCTATGGCTGCAAATGTATTAGAATTGCTGTTGAAACTTGTGCTTCTGATCGGCCTTACCATCACGGTTTTTGGCTATGCCTATTCTCAGCTGGCTCTGGATATTTATGGAGGCTCAATGCTCAGTGCTGGAACAGGTAAAGATTTATAGAACTGGCAAAGAAGCCATTCTTTAAAAAGAGAAACTGTAGCTATTATGAATTCTTGGTAAAATCAGTAAAAATTGGCGGAATTTTTTTTTCTGTAAAACTCCTGTTGAAATCAGTGACTTACTTTGTTTGAATCCAGAACTCATGCCTTTACAATAGCATCTTTAATATGTAGTCACCTTAAGCTAAAATACACTGAGGAGCTGTAAATAAGTATGATCAGGTTTGGAGCTCTACCCTCCTGCAATTTCACATTGTTGGAAAAGAGCATTTTAAAGGATTGTTTGACTACTCCATGATGTAAAATTGCTAACTCCAGCTGTTTAAAACAACGATGACAGACCCCCCCAAAACCGCAACAAACTGGAACCAAAGAATCCATAGTTTTAGCATAGAAACAATAATACTTTTTTTTTAAATAATGCTAAACCACATAATGGTAGCAATCTTGCTATAGTTGTACATATTGAGGGGTAACTTTTACAAATCCGTCCACAGAAGCAGTCAAGGAATTTGTAAGTCACCTTGGATTTTCAGGAGAGAAAGTAGAGGTTCATTTAATTCCTTCTTCTTGAAACATAAGCACACAAATTGTAGCCTGGAGTTTTCTTGGGTTCTTTCAGTGGTTTGTCAGTTGACCTACAGTAGCTCCTGCTAGAAAAAACTATCTGTCTGCTGTAGCTGAGCCCTGTGTAATGTCTCGGTTCCTAGCTGATCTATCTTGGGTGAAGATCTAGCAGCTCCTCAGAGGAGCTTTTTTATTGCATTTCTGTCTGGAAATTTTGCCTGTGTGCCATTGTGGGAGAGTTCTAGCTTGCATTTTCTGTTTCACATCTATTATAATTAAGAGAAAGTTACAGGGAAGATGAAAGCATGTGACAGTATGTTGTGTTGAAGACAGTTGCACCTGTCCGAGTTCTGCACCTTCAAATCGTAACCTTGGAATAGTGCTTATTTGGTATTAAAATTAACTGCAATTACCTTATTCAGTGTTAAGATCATTTGATATATTCTAACCCCATGGACACTTTTCTATTTTTAAATGTTAAGCATTTAGATATTTTTGCTTTAGACCCTTGCATGTTATTTGGAAGCTGGTGCTTGATTTGTATAGTGATTTTAAGGAAAACCCTGTGTCTGCATAACCAAGAAAAAATGTTAATAACTTTTGCATGTTGTTTTGAGTTGTCTTGCTGCTAGTTCTATCAGATTTGTTTCTAATTTTGAAAGCAAATGTTGTGAAAGATTGTCATTCTGGACCCTGGCAGCCAATTCTTCTTATGAAGAAAATGTTTTCTGTCCCTCTTTCTCTTCAAGAATGAGTGTCTGGGCCTAATCTTTTAGACATGCTTACTTGACTGAAAAGGACTATGTTTAGGAATATGGATGCAAGTCAAGTGACTCACAAGTAATTTTACTTTTTTTACCTAATGATAATGTGTGAAAACGAAATGTTGAGCATGCACACTGACTTATTTGACCAGATATTCATGGATATATTCATTTGGATATTTTTTTTTTCTGAGTGGTCTCTAGTCCACTTGAAAAGAAAGTCTTCAGCTCTGCCCCACGTCTGCAGTGTAGGTACTGCTCACTGGGCAGTTGTTCTTAGAACTGAAATGGGAGGAGACTCGATAATATGAACTACATTCCTGCCATCAAGAAGGAATGTTCATGGATGCACACTAACCTGTTAAAAAGCATGGGATTTTTTTCCCAGTGTTATAATTTCTAAAGGACAAGATGATGATTAAAGTCTGGATGGAGAATTTTGAAGTCCTGTATAAATTATCTCTGACCCATAAAAATCTGATTATCATTTTTCATCTAGCACAGTTTTGAATGTATTGAAGAGCCTTTCTGTTTTTCTTACTGTTGTGTTCAAAATACACATTTCATTGTTTTTAGTACCTCATGACTATAGGATTAATTTCCACAAATTTTGGTACAATAGAAGATTTGGGTTATGATAAATATTAATTTTTAATTAGGAAATCCCTTTTAATAAAATACTTTTTTTTGATGGATATCTTTTCTGTTACTATAATAACTGCTATATTTGGGTGTTTTGGGTTTTATTTTTGTTTTTATTTTGCTTGTTTATTTCTGTTCTTGTCAAGATTTCTAGTCAGGAAACTTGTTCAAATGAACTTAAGTTTCCGTTATTAGTGATAATATTATAACTTTTATATCTTAGTGAGTGTAAAAACAATGCAGTTTTATAAAAGAAATAATAATCTACTTATCATTCTAATGTGTTTTTTAGGTCCAGATCTCCTCCGGTGTTACTCTTTATATGTCCTATTTCTTGCTATCAATGGAGTTACAGAATGTTTTACATTTGCTTTGATGTGCAAAGAAGAGGTAGACAGGTAGGAAATAATGTCCCCAGAATATTCCTGTAATTAATCTGCATATGGTTTGCTTGGAGTTCAGTATGTAAACAGAACAATTGTCCTGCATGGATATGTGCTTGGAAATGCTTTTTTTCCAAAGAGCAAATTTCTTTCTGCAGTCACTTTAAGAACTGTGTTCCTTGTCTCTGGAGCCAGGTGCAACAGATGGGCAAGCAAACATGCACTACTTTATTTTTTTACATGCTTGTATTTGTTGATAAACATTGATCTTCTTAAAAATTTATTTGTAATGACCTTATAAAGAGTTTGGTGCATTTGAAATCAGCATGAAAATACCCTGCCCCACTGAAAACCAACTCCTTATTTAGCTGTCTGCATGTAGCTTTAGATAGAATCATAGAATAGTTTGGGTTGGAAGGGACCTCCAAAAGTCATCTAGTCCAAACCCCCTGCTGTGGGCAGGGACATCTTCAACTAGATCAGGTCGCTCAGAGCCCCGTCCAACCTGACCTGGAATGTTTCCAGGGATGGGGCATCCACCACCTCTC